TCCCCTCCAGCTGTACGTGCCCCTTCCCACTTGCACCATTGCGATGCAAGTTGGATCCAGCGTGCATTGTATCACATGGTGCTCGCGCCTTTATGTCACCCCCCATGCCGCTCCATCTCTTCGCGCTCCGAGATTTATACGTCATGCACAGCATCATCATCAACCCGTCCACGATGGGCTACCCCGTGGACCGCGAGAGGCGTTACACGTGGTTGAGGCACCGCCGCGCGCTCCAGGATTCCGAACACTGGCCGATAACTGCCCCCCAGGAGGAAAGGGGACTGAACGACTCATCCATTCGGAAGGGCGAGTGGCTCCGAGTGGGTAAGCGAATCACTCACCGCATGGGTTGTTCGGGTTCCCTTCCCCCTTCCAGCGGATATGTCCCCTCTCGATATGTAGGTGACTTGTCGAGTCATGCCGGCCCGCCCCCCTCCTCCTCCTCCTCCCGATCGCCTTCCTCCTCCTCCTCCTCCTCCCGCTCCTCCTTTCCTCCTCCTCCTCCTCCTCTTCCTGGGGGCCTTAAGACCTTAGGGCCCCGGGCCCATCGGGCCCCGTGCCTTCTTGGGTAACATCTCCCTTCTCAGGAGCGAGTGCCGTGGCAGGTGTTCGCGGCGAGCCAGGAACGTCGGTGCGACGTGCACTGGCATGCGTACTTCGAGTATGCGTCGGTGGAAGAACTCGACGCTGCGTGGGCGAGTGGGTCGACGCGCAAGAGCGTGCTCGATCGCCATGGCGGGGCTCTGCCGGAGGAGGCAAGCAAATCGGATTTCTCAGATGCTTTGAATCAGAGGGAGCTCGATTGGCTGCATATGTACTGCGACCAGGTGACCCCTCGCCTCTCACCCCCTCGTCTCCTTCTCTCCCTCCACCACCTCCTCCTTCAGGAATACATTAAGTTGCAAAGTGTAGAACAGTATGATGTTTCAGACGTGCCTGAAAAGAAGAGGGGATTATGATGGAGATGGAGATGAGGAGGAGGAGGAGGAGGAGGAGGAGGAGGAGGAGGAGGAGGAGGAGGGAGGAGGGCACGCCTCTGGATCACAGTTCGACGTCTGACCATATTAAACAGGAGGAGAGGAGGGGCAGGAGGAGGAGGAAGAGGACCGCCGGACCGCTCCAGGTCCGAGGCAACCGTTTCGGCGTCTTGGCAGACCTCGACCAGCATCCAGTCTTGCATTCTTCGACAAACCGCGGGGCTTCTCACGCCCAGACACTGATCTCGAACGTCGGCCTGCTGTATTCTTCGTTCCACAAGAGATGGGCGGTGCCGAGGGAGTTGCTCCTGATGCAAGGCTTCCCAGTGGTCCCAGAGTTGACGTTTTTTGGGGAAACGTGTTCATTCAACATCGTGCGCAAAAGGGGTAAGAACGCAGTGGGGAGCCAAGCTGGCAATGCAATGCGCGTGGTCTCAGTTGGCGTCGGTCTCGGGTGGGGCATGCTCAACATTGTCGACCTCGACACGCATGCGGAGTTCGCGCGCCAGGTCGGGCTCGTCGAGCGCGCGAAGCGCCAGCGGGATGCAGCTGCGCTCAGCAGGCGGCGTTTGCTGAAGAGGCCCCTGGTGCGCGCGTGCTCGGGCGCGCGCATGCCGCATGCTCAATGCGCGCGCGCGCTGAGAGGGTAAGTAACGCTTATCCTCCTCCTCCCCCTCCTCCTCCTGCCTCGCCCTCGGCCAATCCTCCCTCCTCCTGCTCAGTGCGCGCGCGCTGATCAAGGTAAGGCTTGTCCTCCGACTCCTCCTCCTCCTCCCCATCCTCCTCCTCCTCGTCCTCCTCCTCCTCGTCCTCATCATCATCATCATCATCATCATCATCCTCCTCCTCTCCTCCTCCTCCTGCCGTCTTGCGCCGGGTGCATGTGACGTACCGTGCCTATCAGGTTACATTCGGGGCCTGCTGGCCAGGGTAAGCCTTATCCTCCATCATCGTCCTCCTCCTCCAACCTTGCCCTGCTCGCCCTTTTCCACCTCGGCCCCTCTGGGCTCCGCCTCCTGCCTCGCCATCGGTTTTGAACTACCCCGTTCTGTGGGCCCCCTGTGTCGCCTCTGCCTTCAATGGAGGTGCATCTTTTGGTTTTCCAGTGTTCCAGAGTTGGACGGGGGGGCGGCCCTCCTCGCCACGGTTGGATTCGGCCCCGACTGCGAGATGGCCCCGGGCCCCGCCTCCGACCCCGCTGACCCAATTCCCATGCTTGCCATGCTTGGCCGCTGCCGCGCCGAGGAACTCCAGCGCCTCGTCGGCCACGACGCTATCCTTGGCGCGCTCGACGCGGGCGCGGGAGGCTGGGAGCTGATCGCAGCCGCGCAGCCGAGCACCGAGCACCAGGGCCCCAGCTGATGCCTTGCTTGCGAGTTGCACCGCTCTTGTTCTCTCTGTTTCCCCCCCTCTCTCTCTCGCATTCACCTTCGATCGCACCCGCCTCAGCCTCAGCCCACCTATCCCTCTCTCTCACTCTCTATATCTCTCTCGCTCTCTCTCTCTCTCTCTCTCTCTCTCTCTCTCTCTCTCTCTCTCTCTCTCTCTCTCTCTCTCTCTCTCTCTCTCTCTCTCTCTCTCTCTCCTCTGTCAGAGGACTCCTCTGTCGCTCTCCCTCCCCCTACCCCTGGCGCTCTGCGCCGCTCGGAGTCGAGGGCCGCGATAGCCGCGATAGCCAGGTACTAGTCGCGCGGTGGTACAGATCGCGCGAGTTACGTTCTCCCTCCTCTCTTGCCAGCTCGATGAGACTCTGAATGCACGCTTTCGGACGCTTTCGATTCGCCGGCCAGCTCCGCTCTGGCGGCACGAGTCTCGTCCAGCGGTCAAAATGGTCAGCAGGGTGAGGCTGAGGCGCGCCGTAAGCGCGCCAGCTCTATGCTATGCTATGCTGCGGCATGCCCCACCCACGTAGTTAGCCAGCTCAGCTCGTGAACACCCGCGCAGCACAGCATTACAGGACGGCGGGGGAGATAATCAGAAACGAATTAGCATGTAGACGACAAGCTTGGCGAGGAGGGGAAGGAGTGCGGAAGGGGTCCCGGGGTAGGAGGATGAGGATGGTATGGATGAGGACCAGAGTAGTAAACCCCCACCATCAGCAATGTTCCCGAGCTCCCTCCTCATACGTCCCGCGTTGCCCGCGCCTGTGCTCATCTTGATATTGCCGCCACCTCGCGTTTCACTTTGACGTTGCAGCTCAAGCGCCCTGCGGGGTCAACAGCGCTCGGCGCCGTCGGCGCAGCAGGCGCGACCGCGACCTAGGCCCGCACTCAGAATTGGACGGCAGCATCGGGCGCCATGTCCGGGCAGCAGTCCCCCTTGGAGGCGAGCGGCGTGTCTGGGGCCTCGAGCTCTGGGGGCCCTTTGGGGGCCCATGCTGCGGGGGCGGGGCCAGGGTTGCTTGTTCCGAAGCCCGCTGCGGCGGCGCATTCGTCGGCAGGGGCGGCCCAGGCGGTGATGGAGCTCGGCGCGATGCATGATATGCTATTTGGCCCCAGAGCGAGCGTCGCAGAACGCTTCCCGGACCAGGATGGGCAGGATCTCTACGCGCTGATTGAGTCACACTACAGGCTGGCAGACCGCAAAGCCTTGCCATTCTCGCCTTCAGGAGACAAGCTCCTTCGGCGCCACGAGCAGGTCAATCCCAGGCAGCCAGGGGGGGCCGTGATGGTGTACGCCAGGCGCATACTGGAGAAAGGCGTCATGAGCCGCTTCAGAGGCCCTATGATGGCCGTCCAGGTCCCAAGCGAAATGTAAGCTGCCACTCCACGCTTGTCCCTCCACCCCCTCCTCTCCCCTCTGCCTCCTCCTCGTCCTCCTCCCTCCGCCTTGCACTCCTCCTCCCTATTGTCCCCCTCTACCCTCGTGCCCCCCATATCCCTCTTCCACTTTCGTCGTCGCCTTCGATGCCTCCCGTCTCCCCCTGTCCTCAGTCCTCCTGCCCTGCCCCCCTTCTCCCTCCACTTGCTTCTCTGGGCGCCCCGCGGTCCCGAGGTCTCGCCCGGCGACGACAGCTCCGGGCCGCCGATCTTCTACTTCATCGCGGGGGCTACCTTGAGCGAGGCCGCATGCGCCGCATGCGAGGGAGGGGGGAGTCAGAGGGGGGCTGTAGGCTGGAGGCTGGATGGGGATGAGATGAGACTGCAAGCGAGCGATGGCCAGGCCTTCTACGTCGCCTTCGACATGCAAAAGGGCGACCTGGTGCCGAACCGCTACATCTCGAAGATTTGCGCAGAGGGGGTGCTGATTCAAGAATGGCGTCACGACACCCCGAAGGATGTCTTATCATGGCTCAAGAACGAGGGCAACGAGTACCACGAGGGGGCCCCCACAACCTACCTGGAATTGTCGCCGCCGCTTGGGGGTAGGAGGAATGGGAGGGCTGAGAAACATAGAGTGGAATGTCTCGATTGGCCTTCCCTGGTCGGTCCGACTTAGGGCCCGAGCCGCATCCTCCTCTCCTCTCCTCCTTCCCTCTCCCCACCCCCCACCTCAGCCTCAGCCCTTGTTCAGAAACGTCTGGGCGGTGGTTCGGAATGCCTCGATTGGGGTCTCGCTGGGTTGACGAATGGGTCCTCTGATGCATGTCCCTTTGGGCACGCCCCAATTAGGCTATTGCGACTGGTCCCGAGTTGGGGCCGACCGACCCTTAGCGCCAGCCAGGTTGAACGCTTGCGAGGACATCCAGACTGGCTGGGCCAAATGCTGCTTTGATAATGGTATCGAAACGACCACGTGCCCGAAGAGCGGGCCCGATTGCTATGAGAAACAATACGAGGCTTGGGTGATGAAGCACCATGGCAAGCTCTTCAAAAAGTCTTGGAACAAGTATACGAATACCAAGGCCTTCTACAATGATCTGAAGAGGCGATGCATGTCTAATGTCTCGCCCCTCGCTCCTCTTCCCCCGTCCCTTCTGGTCACCACCTCTTCTACTCTTCTATTCTGCCCTGCTCATCCCCCATTCCGACATCCACCCCATCGCCGTCTCCTCCTCTGCTCAACACCTGGCCCCTGGCGGAGGCTCGACCTGTGGAAAGACTACAACGCGCTCTACGGGGCCGTCAATGGCGTCGATTTTCTCCGCCCAGGCCTGTACGACGCCACGGTGGCGAACGTGAACAACATCGTTTCAAATTTCATGGAGGCGCACTACTTGGCAACGATGGAGCCGCACGTCTACAAGGAGGTGTTATTCTGCTTGCTGAAGTTTTGCGTCCCCTGGACATCGGACGACTCGCTTGGCGCGCAGGTGCACACCCACTGGCTATTCACTGGACCGACTGCTACGAACAAGTACCTCCTCTGGCTCAACACCCCAATGACAGGCTCGGTCCTGTACAAAGCGAAGGCCGCGCCCAAGGCGAAAGCCAAGGCCAAGACCAAGGCTGCTGGGGCGAAGCCCCCGCCGATGAAGAAGGCAAAGAAGCAGCCTCTCGCGCCCGAGGAGGTGCTAACTCTGATCACGACGGATGCATCCAGACTGAAGTGCTGGCTCGACGACCTGGCGTCTTGCGTTTTCGCACCGCTCGAGTTCCTGACGCCCGCTCAGATCCAGACCGCAGACGTCCGCAAGGGCTTGGACATTGGCCTGTTGTTCGGGCTCACGAAAGAGGTCAGGATTGGCGGAACGACGCTCACTCAGTGGAAGCTGGTCCGCAAAGAGATCAGGATCATGATGATCAAGGCGCATGGCAATTCCTTTCGCCAGGTGGAGCTGCCTGGCATTCAGGACAGCACCACTGCCAGCTCGGAGCAATTGACGACCGCTCTCATCGATGTCCTGGCCACTGGGGAGACGGAGGAGTCGGCTGCACCTGAGCCTGCCGACCCCGTCTTGTCGGAGTTGGCGAAGACCGTCCCGGAGGTCAGCGTGATGCAGTCCATGAAGGAAGACCAGGCCTTTGTCAGGGCCCTCTGCGCGTTCCTGGCACAGAACTTGGCTGGCCAGTCGCCCCCTATCATGATGCCTGCGTTCAGGGAGTTCCAGGGCAAGATCTACGAGAGGGTTGAGTCCTTGCAGCTTGGGACCTCCACCGACGACTCCAGCAAAGACCCCGTCAAGCTCGCGAAGCTCATCACTATGATGGCAGAGGACGCACACAACAAAACAACCCCCACGTGTCCACGTGTCCTCCTCCTCCGCCCGTCTCCTCTCCACTCCCTCCTTTCCTCTATTTTCTTCTGGGGGACCTGGTGCCTCGCTCCTCCTCCTCCTCCCCCTCCTCCATCTGGTCCCCCCTCCTCCTCCTCCTTCTCCTCCTCCTCCTTCCCCTCCTTCCCTTTGCACTTCGTGTCGGTCGCGCGCCGCTACGTCCCCGCAGGAATTGTACAAGACGCTGCCTGCGAAGTGGCAGTCGTTCGCGCGGCACGTGAACGACATCCATGTTGGCATGGAGCAGAACGCGAGGGACAAGACGAGCCTGGCCAGCGTGTCCGGAAAGGTGTTTGACACCCCCTACAAGTTGCAGCGCTTCCGCGGGCTCCGCATACTATTCTTCCGCGAAGCCATTCAGGTTTTCGTTGCGGGCCCCGAGAAGATGACCAATCGCGACTACGGTCACGTCCTCGGCTGGGCGTATGCGACCTTGAACACCATCGTGCCCATCATCGAGATGACCGCGGAGGGCAAGGAGGTCGGCGCCACCTTATTTGCGTCTCGCATGCAGGACATATTCAAGCACTCGCACGGGGAAGGTGACGCCGCCCTCGACACGCCCACCATCACGAAGTATCTTACGGACACCGCCAATGCGGAGCAGGCCGCTGCGGAGGTTGCGCGGCCCCGTGCCCCCATCGCATTGCCCCCCTGCCAGGGTGCCAGGGCCCCCCTGCCGACGACGACGACGACGACGACGACGACGACGACGACGACGACGACGACGACGACGACGACGACGACGACGAGAGGCCTCGCAGGAGAACAACCTAACATAACACGTCCCTCGGTCCCTCGGGCGGAGAAGGAGGTAGTAAGGATGGCTGATGATGACGATGATGATAGGCGGGGAGGGCGAGGATGGACGAAGGGAAAATCTACGGCACGGAAGGGCTGGGGAACTGGGGGGTTGCGTTGGGGCCCCAGGGCCGCGCCACACCACACAAGGCAGCGGCCGACGCGGCCGCAGCGCTGGCACAGGCTCAGAAGATGATGGATGCTGCGAACGGCGGCTGCGGCAAGGCATTGCAGACGGGCACTACCATCGACCCTTTCGCGGCCATGAGCACCGTGACCCATATCCGATCCATGTGGGCGACTGAAGTTGTGATTGGGGACGCAGGTGCTGCGGAGAGGAGCTCCATCCCGGGCACGCAGATGGCAATGCTCGCGCTGAAAGTCCAGACCAAGCTCTTCGACCTCTGCTTCCACGCGCTGTCCCCGCAGACCCTGCCGCCAGACAGCGGCCTGGACCTGTGCAAAGGCGACTCGCTCAACGCGAACGTCGTCCTGTACGTCGAGAAGACCGAGGGGGCGGACATCAACAACCTGGGCTTCAACATGATCGGCGAGGCAGCTCCGACTAACTTGGGCCAAAACTTGTTCCCCGCCACCGCCACCTCCTCCTCCTCCTCATCCTTTTCTCCCTGCCTCCCCTCCCGGGTTGGCTAGAGATCGCGTCAGCGGCGGCGACCGCGACGCTCTCCTGGGCAGAGGCGGCGAGTTTCGGCATCTCCATTCCATTATAATCCTTGCACTCCCCCTCCTCCTCCTCCTCCTCCTCCTCCTCCTCCTCCTCCTCCTCATCCTCCTTCTCCTAGTCTCTCCTTCTCTTCCTCCTCCTCCTCCTCCTCCCTTTCCTGGCTAGCCTTTCCATCTCTCCCACTTCCCGCAGGTCAGCCGCGTCCCGACTGTCGGCGCGATCCCGTTAGCGAAGCTTTCGGAGACCGAGGAGCTGTTCATCAGTCCCCCTGGTGCCGCTGGCGCCTCGTTTGCTTGCCCGCATTTCATCCCAGCGTGGATGGTGCAGCCCAATGACGGTCCCGTGCCTGATCCTGAGCTTACTAAGAATACGCTGAACATGTCGGTGACAGCTGTCAAGGTCGCCTACACGTTCGACTACACCGTGCTGGCCGAGAGCAAACACTTGGATGTGCACCTTACGGTGCATCGCCTCTCTGTGAGCAGCGAAGACAAGGATAAGTTCGCTAAGGCCGCGGTTGGCCAGGTGTTCCGCCTGACCCGGGACGACGCCCCCACCATGCTCAAAACCGCCCCGAAGCTTGCGAAGGGCAAGGGCAAGGGCAAGAAAGGCAAGAGCAACAGCACGGATAAACCGAAAGTTAATCCTGAGTGCAAGCACCTCCTGCGGTGAGGACGGTGAGGGGGCACGTCTGTCGCAGCGCCCCACGCGCCGCCGCAGGGTCATCGTAGGATTGCCTCTTCCTTTCCTCCTCCTTCCTGTCCTCCTCCTCCTCCTCCTCCTCCTTGTCCTCGACCTCCTTTTCTTCTTCCTCCTCCTCCTCCTCGGCGAGGCCGACCCCAATCAGCTTAGGTCCTCGGTGTGCGATGACTCTAGAGGGGAGGGGGACTGGGATCATGTAGATATACAGGGAATGGGGTGAATCTTTCTTGCGCCCGTGGCTTTTTACCTTGGCTCAGCCTGGCTCAGTTTAATCCTGGTCAGCTCGGGCTTCGACGCGTGAAAACGCGGGGACTGGGGCAGAGACATGGGGGACTAGGACAGTGTGTTGAGATGCAGGGACCCGCAGTTTTCTCGCGCCCGATGGGCTGAGCCGAGCCAGCTGAATCTCTGGGACTCTAGACTCTCGACCTTGTGCTGGGTAGCTGCCGTTCGTCTAGGTTGCGGCTACACGCAGGCATAGGATGATACTGTCCAGACTCGGCGGCGACGACGGCGACGACGAACGACGACGACGACGACCACGACGACGACGACGACGACGGCGACGGCGGCGGCGGCGACGACGACGACGACGACGGCGACGGCGACGACGAACGACGACGACGACGACGACGACGACGAACGACGACGACCACGACGACGACGACGACGACAACGACGACGACGACGGCGGCGACGGCGGCGGCGACGACGACGGCAGCGACTTCGTCGTCGCCATCGTCGCCGATGACCCGATGCGGACCCGCCAAGCCCGCTCCCGGGTGGCACGGTGGCTCCCGGGTGGCTCGATATTGTGGACGGCTGCGACGCGCGCGCGCAGCGAGGCAGAACATCGTCTCCCTCTCACTCCACCTCCCTCCTCCCACCATCCTTTCTCCCTCCCTCGTCCTCGTCTGTCCCCCCCTGTCCTCCGTCTGCTCCTCCTCCCTCGTGTTCCCCTCCTCCTCTCCGTCCTCCTCCTCCCTGGGCCTAATCCCCCCTCCTCGCTTCGCTCTAGACGGCGGGGCTGAAAGAGAAAAGGACGACAAGGATGATAAACAGGAGGAAGAAGAAAGGAGACGGAAGAGGAGGAGGAGGAGGAGAGTGAGGAGTAGGAGGAGGAGGAGATGAGGAGGAGGAGCATGATAAGGAGGAGAAGGATGAGGATGAGTACGACCAGCCTCAAGGAGGAGGACTGGAATAAGGAGGAGGAGGGGGAGAAGGAGGAGGAGGAGGAGGAGGAGGAGGAGCCCCGAGGGGTGGTCGACCCCCCCTCCCGACGGAGCGCCCTGACTTCATCTTGCCCCGCGGGAGCTGCCTACCCACGCCGCCCTTTGTCGTCCACGTCGACGTCTTCGTCGGCGTCGGTCGAGGATCGGGGGACGGAGGATCGAGGATCGATCGAGGATCGAGAATCGAGCGCCTCGCGGACAGCCTTGACCTCAGGTAGCCCGCCGCCCGCCCCCGCCGTCGTCCTCCTGCTCCTCCTCCTCGTCCTCGTCCTCCTCCTCGTCCTCCTCCTCTTCCTCCTCCTCGTCCTCCTCGTCCTCGTCCTCCTCGTCCTCGTCCTCCTCGTCCTCGTCCTCCTCCTCCTCGTCCTCCTCCTCCTCCTCCTCTCCTTGGGAGGTGCTCCCTGGCGCTCGACCGCCTCCGCTGCCCGCCCCCCGCCCCTCCCCAAGGGAGGAAGGCTGCGAGCACGCTCAGCTTTTGCTCGTCGGGGTCGTGCGCGGCATCGGCGCGGTACAACCAAGACGCTGAAATAAAGAACAGTTTGGGTTCGGAAGGGGCTCGATGTTCCTTAGGTTCCTCCAGTGTTGTTCCTCTTGTCCTCCTGGGGCACGGAGGCGCTTGCAAGGCCAAGAAGGGGCTTCGTTCCTTGGTTAGCGTTCCTTCTTTCAGCGGCCGGACTGTATATAGGAGGCGGACTGCAGCGGCGTGATGCTAGAAAGTCGACAATTGCGAGGGGAAGAGAGAGAGAGAGAGAAAGAGAGAGAGTGAGAGACACCGAGACGGGATAGAGACGCGCGCACGGGCAGGCAGGAGAAGAGGAGGAGGGGGACGCAGGGCCACCGCGCCGAAGACAGCCGATATGCCCTACCCCGCCCATGCGTCATCGTTTCTCCGAGCCGCACCCCCCCCCCCCAGGGAGACAACCATTACGGGAAACAATGGAAACAGCAACGCTTGAACGCCCCCTTTCTTGGAGGCCCGCGAGAACAGCACGCAGTTCTGTCGGGCCTCGTCCCCCCCCCCCGCCCCTCGGTGCTGCCTCCCCGAGGTACCAGCTGCGGAAGAACGGCTTCGACCTCATCCAGAAGCGCGGCTGTTGCGCTGCTGCTCTGGCCTTCCTCTGCACGCAGGACAGTAGTGGTGATGGTGATGGTGTCGTGATCCCAATCATAGCCACCACCACCACCATCGCCCTCATCATCATTATCATCATTATCACCACTACCGCCGTCATCATCATCAGCATCAGCATGATCCTTGTCATCATCATCAGCATCATCATCATCATCACCAGCATCACCAACATCAACACCGTCGTCACTACCAGCACCATCATCATCAGCATCATCATCACCATCCGCATCATCATCAAACTATCAATACCATCATATCACCATTGTCAAACCATCAATACCACCAATGCCAGCATCAGCATCATCACCATTATCAGCATCAGTGTCGTTATCATCATGATCGTTCTCATCTTAATCACCAGCATCATCATTACCATCATCATAATCGTCATAAGCAGTCCCATGATCATCATCATGGTGGTCATCACCATCATCAAAATCACATCATACTCATCGACGCCTTCATCATTACCACCAACATCGAGACCAATGGCCTCAGCATTACCGGCATCATCACTTTCAGCATCATCACCACCGTCATCATCATCGCCACCATTGTCATAATCATTTTTATCTACATCTTCATACTCATCCGCCCCACCTTCATACTCACCTTTACAGTCATCATCGCCATCACCATCATCAGCAGCAGCAGCAGTACCCTTTCCTCTCCCCTGCCGCCTCGTCGTTCGTTCCCCCTTCTGTTCTCGTGTTCTTGTCGTCGTCGCCCTCTGACTCTCGTGGGCCGGGGCGGGGCGATTCCTGGGCCGACGCCCAGCTGCTTCTTGACCGATCTTACCCGTGCCGCCGGCGTGTGCCATGGTGCCCACAGTCGGACCGGGGATATCAGATCGTCGCTGGTCCGCGGAGGGTACCCCAGTGTTCTTCGTGTTCGTTGGATGTTCGTGTGCATCCTTGGGGGGGTACCCTTGGATGTTCTGTCTGTGTTGGCCGACGGAGGGTTTCATGTTCCTGAGGGATGTTCTTCTGGCCTAGGACCAATGCATTCGTGGCCGAATCTCGCCGTGGAGAGAGTCTCGCCGTTCTTGAGTTCTTCGGGCCCTCCCTGGACCCCGGGGGCCGGGCCCTCCCTGGACCCCAGGGGCCGTCAACAATCAGGACGGGGAAAAGAATACAGACAAAATGAATCGTGGATTCCCAGTGAAGTATGGGAAAGTATGGGAAGTGAAGGGAAAGACGAAAATCCAGGAAATATGAGAAAACATTGGGGAATCCATCGTTCTTCGGGTATAGCCAGGACCCCAGGTAAGGGGACGCGGTTCGGAGTCCTTAAATTTGCCAGAGTCACTAAACCAGGTCTGCCGTAACTGGTGTTTGTTCGGGTGACGGCAGTTCCGGTTGGTGGAATGGGGCGGGGGGGGGCGTCCCCTTTTACACTAAACCCATTTCTGCCAACGCCCGAGTCTTGTGTATTTATTTGTGTGTCCTCGGGCCCCTTCAAACGAGCTAGTCAAAACCAGGGATCTGATATTCGTTAGGGGGGACCTTCCTGGGGCCCTCCTGACGGATCTGTTCGACTCTAGGTCGAGTCTAGCTCGATTCGAGTTCGACGCTAGCTCGACTTAAGTTTGACTCGGGTTCGATGCGAGTTATACTGGAGTCGATGATCATTCGACGCAGCATCGACGCATGAGTGGAGCGGGTGATTCCAGGACGGTCCCCAGAACGAGCCTCCAACCTGCAGAGAGCCCTGGGCTCCAGGACCCGTTTCCTCACCCATCCTGCGGCGCTGCCGCACAGGCCCCTTCGTTGAGAGGAAGACCAGTTGAGACATCGGCGGTCCTCCTTCCTCCCCGTCCTCCTCTTCACTGCTCCTCACGGTCCTCCTCATTCCCCCCAGCGATGGGGAGGGCCTTCGATGCCTGCACTGACCCTCCTCCGAGTTGCAGTGCCACGGCGAGAGGAGGGGCAGGGGACCAGGTAACCCGAGCTCCGCGCCCATCCCCATCAATCCTCCCCAGATATTTTCCGGCGACTGGCGCTGGGCGGCGGCAAGGACGTGTCAGGAGTGCGTTCCTCCCCGTCGCCGTCCTCGGCGGTGTCCAAGGCCTGGCGCCTGGGGACCAGCCTCTGCACGCTGCCCCAAGCTCTGTGGACAAGGCACGGCCGGCGCGCCCGCTTCCGAGGGGCGCTGCCTCGCGCAGCGTGCGAGTCCTCGGGCCGCGGCGGCCCGGCCACTGCGCACGCGCCCCGCGGCATGGCACAGCGTGGGTCTGAGACCTGGTTCTGAAGCGCGCGCGCGCGGGCAAAAGAGGCCGCGCGCGCGCGTTGCGGGGAGTCCGGGAACATAACGGTATCCTTGTACAGTGGAGACCCATGCCAAGAAACACCCTGCTTGCCTACGGTTTCTTTGGCTCCGATGGTCTTGCGACGGAAAGCGTGGCGTTCCCACACCAAAAAATATGGGCGTCCTGGGGTCTCGGGGTTGGGTTTCTTGTGGAAAGTTCTTGCGGGCTGGCCTCCACTGTGCCGGTATCCTTGTATCTGGCCTCGAGCGCGCACCACCTTGCAATGCCTTTGGCACCCCTAAACCATCCCGGCGGTCTCGGCTCCACGATCCTGACGATCTTCGTCTCGACGGAGTTCCTGCGATGTGTCGCAGCTCTGCGTTTGCCCAGTAGTACGTCACGCTCGATGAGGATGTTGTCTCCGCAGCCATGGCGGATTCCATATAGGTGCATGCAAGCTCTCTCTGAGATTCGTTGGGCCCCTCCCGCTGAGGGTCGACCATGCGATGTTCAACATCTCCTCTTTCACCTGTCACGTGCGTTTCCCATGGTAGACCAGGGCCTCATGCACACAACTACAACAGGAGGTGCCAACGGAATGCGATGTTAGAGCCCGGGCGCTGTGTTGTTGAGCGTCGCGTTGCTGCCTACGCGTGGTTTGGCCCATGGTCCTTACATGTCCCAGTCCATCGGGACAGCAGGCCTCAGGCCCTGGGAACCATCATGTAGTCGATGAGCCCAGCTTAGTTTGGATGGTATCCTGGGGCCACCCATGCTCCTCTTAAATCAGTGTCCCGTTGGGTTGGTCCGATTTCGCCCAATGTCACGTTCCAGTCCCCCACCACGAATTGGCTTGTCACGCGTTTGAACTAAGCTTGCGGTCTCCTCTGCCATGGCTGGATTGCAGTCAGCTTGGCGCGTATATAGTTGCAATGAAGCTGCAATGAACACAGTGTCACCTTCACCTTCGAAACGCACAGCCTGTCCCGTCCATCGAGTCTGGTCACCAACATGCCCGGGTATTTGATGCACACGTTTCTGATTGGTTGCGGTGGACCAGCTCATGAGCCCCTTCCTCGCTTGTAGCAAGTCCTTTCCGTAACCTTGGCTTCCTTCGTTCGCAGCAGGAGCTGTTGGGACCGATGCACCAACACAACCAAACTTCTTGAGCCGAGTGGTCGCCTGGGTGAGTTGTTTCCTTCCCGAGCGGTCCTCAACAAATTGTCTCATGCCCATGGGCCCGTTTTCCTGTCCCCTGCGTCTCTTTCGATCGCCGTAAACAAACACAAACAAACAGCAACAGCCAAAATACGCATCCTTTGGATCCCCCGCGGCTCGTGTTGCTTGCGAGCTTGCGAAACACACAGCGATGTGTTCAGACTCTCCATCACCCTTGCGTCTGTGGCATCCTTGCTGAATTGAGCAAGTGTGCCTGAGGGTTGCCCCCATCCGCCTGACCCAGCTCGTTTGGGAGGCAAACGGGTCGGCCTGCCAGCCTGGAGCTTATCTCAACCATTGGAGAGACCCACCCACCATGCGTACGCGTTCTCGGCCCACCGTCCTCCAACGATTCCAGCTTTACAGGGTCATTCGTTCGTGGGTTTCGTGTGCGTCGCTGTCTCAGCCTTCGCAGGAATGGACTTAAGTCGGGCATGTCCCTCTACAGGAGGAATCTTCAAACATTGTCCAACAGACCATATGGGGACGATTTTTTATTATTGTTAGACCACCTTTCTGGAAACGTGTTTGGTCCTTTTATATGTGTCGTCCAAATTCCGCCTGTGGGAGGACACGCCCGACCTAAGAATGGACTTGTTCCGAAACTTGACGGCGACATCGGAACACCTGAATTCCCAAGCCTCGTCACATTTGAGAAATGTCTAATTATCCAGTCGGCTGCCCGCATTGCCACGAGCATGCTTGGGTGTTTGTTTCTCCTCGTGAAATGTCTCCTGACGGCTAGATGTCAGCGCATGCACCACCAGCATGGCCCTCGTCTTTGAAAACGTTGAGGCCCACCTCCACATTGGAAATGCCCACCCCACCAATTGTGGTTATTCTCGGGCTTCCCTCCAGCGGTTCGGCGTCGCAGGGTCCCTCATTTCTGGGGGCGCATGCCCAGGAGCGGGTTTCGCTTGCGACGCCGTCTCAGCCTTCTCAGGGCCCACCCGCGTCCGCAGCCGTGTCGGAGCAACCGATGCCCAGAACCGCGTACTTGATGTCCACCTCCTGGAACGAGGCACACCCCATGTTTCTGGCACTTGAGTTTGAATCCCTTGACCTTTTCCTGGAAGGTCCGCTTCTCCCTCTAGCATAATTTGCAGAGCGTTTCGACTTCGTCAAGGTATGCTGGCACATAGGCTGTTCGCTGGCACTACCGGCACCGCCATCGCCAGCAGGAGTACTCACACCAGCAAGCCCAGAGGCCTTGCCCGGTAGTGCAGCCCCCGCTGCCTGAAGTAGTCCCAGGAACGTCTTCAAGCCTCCGATTTCGAGCATGGATTTGACTTGTGGTTCTTGTCCCAGCGCCTCCTCGCCGAGCATGTCGACTGACCAGACAGCTCCTGAGACTGAACCAGGCACGGTGCTGACGAGCTTCTTCTGCGTACTCTCCATCTCCTTTGCGAGTGCATCCACCTGTTCCTGCAGCTGCGTGTCCAGGGCCTGCGCGTCGGCGATGCGTTTCCGCCGGACCTCAAGGCGCTTCGCCAGGCCGGCTTGATTCGCCTCCAGAAGCGCCATTTCAAGGGCCGATATTGGTGTGTTGCGTGAGGGACGGCCTGGTACTCAGCAGTTCTCGCTGGATTGCCGCCTGCTCTGCACGCAGGCTCTCGATCTCATCCTTGTTGATTTCTGGGTCCAGTCCAGCTCTTGCACCAATCTTGCGAACGTGGCGATCCGATCGCGCAGCGTTCCCGCAGTGCCCTCGGCACCATCCGCCTGGGTCCGCTGCGAGCCGCTGCCATGGCTGGATTGGCCCTTCTGCCCCCCCTTTCGTGGAGCCGCCCCTTGAGCGCGGCGTTGACGGCTGAGGTAAGTTGGGCGACCGAGTTGTCTGTACTTTCAAGCTGCTTAGCCCAAGTCACCACTGGCTGCGGAGATGACCCAGGTTTTGGCTCTTGACATAGATTTTCGTTCGCACGGGCACGATTGACGATACTTCGCACAGCGCCGGCCCCACATGCGCACCTGACATTGCATGCTGAATTGCTGGTCCTCCCACACGCGCAACCCCACATTGGCTCCTTCGGGCTTGGCAAAATTGTTGGCGCCTTCCTGCCATCACTGTTCGACACTCGCCTGCGTGGATTGGCAAACGAGGCTGGTGTTCCCTCAGGCGCTCTCTGAAAGAAGACGCGCGGGGCGCGGCCACCGGGAGCCGAGTGACCCGAAGATCTCGAAAAGTTGTTCCTGGCCAGTTGCTTCGAGCAATGGCAACTTGAGCAAAAATGGCTTGAGCCAGAATGGCGACGGCCTTGAGCCAAAATGGCTACAGTAGACGTTCCCCCTCCTCCTTCTCCCTCTCCTCCTCCTTCCTCTGTCGGCTCGGTCCCGCATGCTGTGGCGAATCCTGTGGATTGCAGTGTGCACGATCTGCAGATACCCAGCTGCCTGCGGCAAGTTCCGCAACCGTTCCAGCGCAGCACTCTGTGTTGTGAAGCTCCTAGCACCGCTCAGGCGGCCGTAACATGTGACACCTCTCGCGTCTGCCCGTGTTGGGGCATCCCGGGGCCTTTCTTCTGGCCCTTTTGGGCCGCCTGGGGGCCCTCATGGGCCGTCTTGTGGCCTGTTTGGACCGTCTGGGGCCCCCCTTGGCCGTCTTGGCAGTCTCGGACGGGCCGTCGTCGGAGCCTTGTGGGGCCTCGTAGGTCTCACGTGTGCGGGTCTTGGGATTATCTTGGGCCGTCGTGTGGCCTCAGGGCGGTCCTGGGCTGTCTGGGGACTCTCATGGGCTCTTCTGGGCTCCATGTGGCTCCTCCGAGGTTTTCCTGAAACCTTCTCTGGCCGAGATGCGCTGAAAACCAAGTGTTTCAAATACCGAAGAAACCCACCAAGTGTTTGAGTTATGGTGGCCCCCCCCGGGAAGCATCCGAAGTCTCTTGAGCCCCCCTCGGCGCCTCTTGGTGTGTTCTTGGGGTCTGCTGGGTGCTTATTGAGGCAATGTTAGAGCCGTTTGCCGGCCTTGGTGGCCTTCCTTGGCCGTCTCGGAAGCCTTGGAGTGGTTAGCAGAGCCTCGGGAAGACGTCGGGCCACCTAGGAACCCTCGGGAGGGGGGGGGCATACAGATCTGCGTGAAGCGGGAGGGGGGCCCTTGGTGATTCACTTAAGTACCAGGCAGCCCACATGCACTCTAATGCGCCCAAATGGTGCAGACACAAGGGCGGATAATCCTGGCGCCTCGATAGCCAAACTCGTTCGCTAACGTGGGTGCTCACCAGTTGCGAATTACCCCCTGTTCTTCTTCATCCCCGTCCCCCGTCCTTCGCGGGCGATGTCTCTCCCCCAACCCCGAGTTCTGTCCGCAAAATTTGGCCGCTCAGAAAACGGGGAAACCTTGGGATACACCCCAGGGGGGGCGATTCGGACGCACCCCGATCGAGGACGGATGCCCCTCCATTGTATATTCCAGGGTCGGTACGGTATGTTTGGTTCATTCGAAAGCCCCGCGAAGTCTGGGATAGGGGTCGACATATTCTCTTTTACTCCTGCTGTTCCTCGAGGACCCACTCCCCGTCTCTCGCCTCCCTGTGGCCTCATTGCCGCCAGCGACGCGGCCCCCTCCCCTCCCCCCCTGCCGGAGGCACTTCGGGCGCGGCAACGCCGCCGCCTTAGCCGCCCACATTGCCGCGAGCACCTTTGCGCACCGTCCAGGGCTCGTTTCGATTCCTCCGATTTGATTCGATTCCTCCGATTCGATTCGATTCGATGTCGAGGGCTTCCGATTCCGATTCGATTCGACTTCGGATTCCGTTTTGGGCTCCGATTTGTCAATGGGTTCGACATTGGCGGTGCGAGCCTCCGCGCAGCCCGCCCCCTGGCCAGGAGCAAAGTCGG